CATCGCCTTCATGAGGAAAGGTTTTAGGACCCCACCCCCTCCCCTTCATTCCCTGCACCCTCAGCCATCCGCAAGCCTAAGATGCTGATTGGTCGGATGGCGTGCGGTAAGGCTGAGTGCGCGGGCAAGCTACCAGATTGCATCCAACTTGTCCGTCCTTTCCCCGACGTTTTCCCCTTTGTCTCTCTCTCCTCCCCGCTTCCCCTGTGCTGTGCCACGTCACTGCCGGAACAGAAGATGCTGATTGGCTGGATGGCGGGCGGCAGGCTGAGTGCGCGGGTGAGCTACCAGATTGCACCCGGTGGGCAGGCTTGTCCGTCCTTTCCCTGACTCTTTCCCCGTTGCCTCTCCTTCCCCCCCCTCCGCGCCCCACCAACCCCCCCCCTCTTCCGAGAGCAGAAGATGCTGATTGGCCGGATGGCGGACGGGAGGTTGAGTGCGAGGGTGAGCTACCAGGTGACGGACAGCCTGGCACTGAAGGTGAATGCGCAAATCGTCAACGAGCCACATTTCTCCCAGGGCATGTTCCAACTCGACTACAAGGTGCGTGTGCGTGAGAGTGAGAGTGAGCGTGAGTGTGTGCGCGAGAGAGAGAGCACGGGAAGTAGCTGAGTGTGCGCGGATCGTGAACGAGCCTCACTTTTCCCAGGGCATGTTCCAACTCGACTACAAGGTGCGTGCGTGAGGGGGAGAGAGAGGGGAGAGAGAGCACATGGGAAGCAGGTGAGTGCGCACAGATTGTGAACGAGCCTCACTTCTCGCAGGGCATGTTCCAGCTTGACTACAAGGTGCGTGCGTGTAAGAGAGAGAGAGGGCATGGGAAGCAGGTGAGCTACCAGGTGACTGACAGCGTGGCATTGAAGGTCAACGCGCAGATTGTGAACGAGCCGCACTTCTCGCAGGGCATGTTCCAACTCGACTACAAGGTGCGTGCGTGTGAGTGTGTGGGTGGGTGTGTGTCTTGCCTGTGTGTGCGTGCATGCGTGTGTGCGTGCGCTTACGTTTGTGTGTGTACGCGCGTGTATGTGAGCCTATAGAGTGCGAGTGTCAACACTTGGCATGTCTCAATGCGCTTCCTTTCCCTCTATCACTGCAAAGAGAGATTGGACTACCAGTGGCAAGTAGTAGCAAGTTACTACTACGAGCCGCACGTGCATGTGGGCAACATGATAAAAGCAGTGTTTTGAGTAGTCTCAAAACGGTGCAGTCCACCGAGTGATTTCCATCCAGAGCGTTCGCTGAATGGACTCATAATGATTATCAACGCTATTTGTGGTGTCAATGCTACTCATAACGATTGTTCCCCATTCTGGTGTCTGGATTTCCCTCATTTGTTTGCTGAATGCCCTCATAACGAGTATTCTGGTGCCTGAATTTCTCTCCATCACTGCAGCGATCAGACTACCAGATCAGCGGGAGGTGCAGTGCAGGCGGGAAACAACGCCTTCCACGCAGTGAACCACATTCACAGCATGCTTTCAAACGTTCTCTCCTCATTCCACGCCCTTCATCCCTCCATGACTGCAGGGATCGGACTACCAGTGGCAGGCGCAAGCAGGCAACAACGCTTTCTACGGAGTGAACTACATCCAGAGCGTCACACAAAGCACTGTCTCCCACATCCGTTACCCTTCCATGACTGCAGGGGTCGGACTACCAGTGGCAGGCACAGGCGGGCAACAACGCTTTCTACGGAGTGAACTACATTCAGAGCGTCACGCCCACACTCTCTCTGGGCGGAGAGGCCTTCTGGCTGGGCCACCAGCGGCGCTCTGGGCTGGGCATTGCTGGTCGATACAACACCGATAAAGTGGTGAGCTGCTCTTGCTGGTATATTTATGAGAATTCTTAAAAGGTGCGCTGCAGGCCGTGTGCTCTTCCTCCTCTTCTTTCTCCTGGAAAAATCATGCCCATTCCGCGTCGCTCCAATCCATGCCATCCCGCTTGCTCTTCAGGCGGCGACTGCACGTGGCGAGCGCAGGAGTGGTATCCATGACCTACGTGCAACGCGTGCTCCAAATCACGCACATCCTGCATTGCTCCAATCCATGCCATCCCGCATCCATCTCACTTGCTCCAGGTGGCGACAGCACAGGTGGCGAGCACAGGAGTGGTGTCCATGACCTACGTGCAACGCGTGTCAGATAAGGTATGGCTCCAATCAGGTATGAGATTATTAAGGCATGTGTTGGTATAAGATATGGTCAGATACGGTATTGGTAGGAGTGGTGTCCATGAGCTACGTGCAACACTTGTCAGATAAGATACGAGACGGATAAGGTGTTTCAGTTGGATAAGGTGTATGACTTGGGTGACATATGTGTCAACTTAAGAAGCACCTTGGAGTCGTGTCCATAAGTCAGCTCTGCACCTTGCGTGCTCCTTCATCTATCCCTCATCCATCCCCATTGCCCTTTCCTCCTCGTTGCCCGTGCTCATCCTCACCAGATGGACCGAGCAGCCGACTTTCTGCACAACTGGAACAGCAAGGAGTCGGCCACGAGTGATCATTTGGGTCTACCCAACAGTCAGCTTCCTCCATCCCTATCCATCCAACCTCATTGCCCCGCATTGCCCATGCTCATCCTCACCAGATGGACCGAGCAGCCGACTTTCTGCACAACTGGAACAGCAAGGAGTCGGCCACGAGTGTTCATTTGGGTCTACCCAACAGTCAGCTTCCTCCATCCCTATCCATCCAACCTCATTGCCCCGCATTGCCCATGCTCATCCTCACCAGATGGACCGAGCAGCCGACTTTCTGCACAACTGGAACAGCAAGGAGTCGGCCACGAGTGTTCATTTGGGTCTACCCAACAGTCAGCTTCCTCCATCCCTATCCATCCAACCTCATTGCCCCGCATTGCCCATGCTCATCCTCACCAGGTGGCCCTAGCAGCCGACTTCCTGCACAACTGGAACAGCAAGGAGTCGGCCACGAGTGTGGGATACGACTATATCCTGCGCCAGGTGTGTACAGGGGGCTGTGGGATACGATTGTATCCTGCCCAGGTGTGTGTGTGCGTGTGTGTGTGTGCGTGTGGCGGTATTCAGAAGTGAGTGTACAGGGAGCTGTGTGCGTGGCTGTAATGAGTGGTGAGTGTACAGCAAGGTGCGTGCTGACTACACCTTGCAGCAGGTGTGGTGTGGTGTGTGTACCCGTTGTGAGCAGCGAATGAGAGTGTACAGGGTGGTGTGCAGCAATTACATTGTGCGGCGGGTGTGTGTGTGGCGTTGGGAAGAGGTGATTGTAATGAGTGGCAGTCACAGTCACAGTCACTGTTACCAAGGTGACAGGATCAAGGTGGTTGGGTTTGGATAAGTCCGCCGTAATGTATGTGACTGTATTGAGGGCAGTTCGGCTTTCCCCTTCCCCCGCCCTTCGTGTTTCCACCAACCAGTGCCGGTTGGACACCAATGGCTGTGTGCCATCCTGTGTAACGCTCACAGCCATTGTTTCTTTTCCTCCAATATTCTCATTCCTCCCCCCCCCCCTCCCTTGTGTTTCCACCAACCAGTGCCGGCCGGACACCAATGGCTGTGTGCCATCCCCCATCCTGTGTGACGCTCACAATCATTCCCACTAGTCTCTCTTCCCCCGATCCTCTCATTCTCCTCCCCCGTCCTCCCTTGTGTTTCCATCAACCAGTGTCGGCTGCGGGTGCGAATGGACACCAATGGGTGTGCGAAACCCCGTGTGGTGCTCACAATCGTTCTCAGTGTTTTCTTTTCCTCCTATCCTCCTTCCCCTCTCCCCCCTCCCCCCCTTTGTGTTTCCACCAACCAGTGTCGGCTGCGGGGGCGACTGGACACCGATGGGCGTGACACCCAGTGTGGTGCTCACAATCGTTTTCAGTATTTTCTTTTCCTCCGATCCTCCTTCCCCTCTTCCCCATCCTCCCTTGTGTTTCCACCAACCAGTGTCGGCTGCGGGGGCGACTGGACACCAATGGGTGTGTAGCAGCCTATCTGGAAGAGAGGCTTAATCTTGGTGTTAATCTTCTTTTCTCTGCAGAGGTATGTCGTTAGTGAGTGTTGATGTCTGATATTTGCGTCTGCGTGCGTCTCTGAGCCTGCATCGCTTCCTCTAGTGCGCCTCGCATGTCTTCCCATTCCCGTTTTGGTGTTTTGTATCTGAACCCAACAATCTCGTTTTGCCTTTCCAGGTGGATCACTGGAAAAAGGATTATAAATTTGGGTTTGGCATGTCTGTTGGGGAGTAGCTGATCGTGGTGATAAATTTACGAACCAAACCTCTGCACTTTCAAGGTTGCAGATTAGGTCTCTTCTATGTGAATGAACTCCAGAGTTATCATGCATTTTGTTTCTTATAGCTACAACACAAAGAGGCCTAATTTCCAGATAGCATTCTTTACGAAGAATGTTATTGCTCTTCGGAGATTTTTTTGCCCAATTCAAGGCTGGATTGGAATATATCAAGTAGCACATTTTGTAGGTTTTTTCTTCCTGAAGCTGTACCAATTTAGAGAGTCGAATATGGTGCATTTCCATCGTTAACTTGCTCGTTCGCTAAAACTAGCTGACTATATCGGCTTCCTCGACATGCCCGAAACAATTATCACACTGCTACGACCCAGTGAGAGCCAAGATTACTCACGAGCTGTAACCCTATGTGACGAGACCACGGTACCTTCGCAACAGTCGTAAAAGTGTTTCTCAAGGAGGTCCGCGAAACGATGTAATTTCGTTTGTAACTCTTTCCAAAAGGCGACCACCTTGAGGTGCGCGGCTTGTATTCAGCGTCGGAGCGCGTAACTTAAAAGTCGGCTGTATTGCTGCCAGCAATAATCTCCTGGAGCAAACCCGCTAACAATAATCGTGGAATGTGTGAGCAAAACAAGCGCGACATAGCAAGCAGCAGCAGTTCTATTGTGGAGGCACAAAGGCGAGAGCGAAGCTGATTCACTCGCCAAATCACCTTCACCAACGAGCATCATAAGCTCCTCCTACCTGGTAGAACGTCCCTTGCTATTCGAGCCATGGATTCAAATGCACGTATCGCGCGGGTGGTAGGCCTGCTCACTGTCATTCTGTCCTTCATTCATTTCCAACCTGCCTTCGCCCTTCGAGTGCTAAGCAATCCCGCAGCAGCCCATGCCAGTGCTGATAGCGAAGCTTCTCTAGTGGGAGCTTCAGCTCCTACTGCCTCTGAATCGGGAACGAGCGGTCCAGAGGCAGCGAGCGTGATGCAGAGTGGTGCAGCGGACCCGTGCACGCTGTGGAGTCAGGAAATCGCCACGAATGCAGGGATCTGGAACGTTGCGAAACCCTCTACAGTTCACGAATGCTTGCGCAATTTCAAAATCAGGTAACGAGCGCATCTACTAAACAGGAATTTGATATTGCAAATACAGTGGCATTGACCTTCTGGAAAAACAAAACCAGCTCCATTTGAACAAGCGTTTTTAATAAGAATTAAAAAATCCTTTGACTTTGAGCAGGGAGAGTGACGTGGAAGATCTTCGGTCCGTAGTCAACGGAGTCAACAACCACTACGTCTACAAGGACACTGCCGTTGACTCGCCCGACCAGACGAACCTTCCCAGCAGCGTCGACATCGTCGCGGAGCTGACGGCCATTCTGCAGCGCGCCGAGCGGGGCGAATACGAACGGCTGATGGACGCCCACGTGGACACGTTCAACGCGCTCAACGGCCTGAACGACGGCCACACGATGTTCTGGTCCAACTGTTTCTTCAGCATGGCTACCTTCGTCCTGCCGCTCCCGCTTTTCGCGGTCGTGGAGGACGGTCAGCAGATCATTCGCGTCGCCACGCTCCGATGTGAGTCTCTCTGCCGCGCGATGCTAAAGTATCTCACACACGCACCGTACGACATTTGCGCTCACACGAACTCGTTTTCCAATTACGCTTCGTTTCAAAGTGTATAAGTAACGCTGTCTGTGGCCGTGTTTCATCGCGCCGTACCCTTCAGACCTGGAGCGGTTCAAGGGGATCGACGAGGACGCGAAGAAGCTCTGGGGTTTCGATTTTTCCGCCTACGAGTTACAGCAGGTACGCTATTGTCGCTAAAGGGGTGCATTAAATAGCAGAAAATCCACAATACACATGGTTTGCAATATCGGGCAGTGTCTATGATAGAATTAGCAAGCGCATGTGCAAAATCCTCCGAGACTGGGAATGCCTACCACTGGATTTCTAACATGGGGCATTCCCCATCAATCTTTCGCTGCCACTTCAACCGGGAGTATAGACCATCGAGCTGCAACTTCCCCTCTCTCTAGCCCTCCCTGTTCCCTGCTGCAGGTTCTCACCAGCAGCCGGCAATGTGGACAGGCTTGGCGGCTTGGCGCCATGGCGGCATGGTGCGCGCAACTCCCTCCCTCTCACCGCCCTCCCTCTTCCCCTCGTTCAGGTGCTCGCAATTGAGGGCCAGCCGGCAGTGGAGTACATAAAGCAGTGGGCGGACAAGCACGGCGGCATGGTGCGCAACCCCAGTGCGCGCTTCAACATGATGTTCGCGGGGCTCGACCCGGAGGGAAAAGCCAGCTTGGGGCACCACGCGGGGGAGTTTGTTGTGCGGGAGTTGGTTCCAGAGAGCGACTCGCTGCAGGTGTCCATTTTCAGAGGGTGAGTGAAAGCCTTGTGGCTTGTGTTGTGGGTAAGTCCCTCCAGCCAATGGGGAGGGCAGCTTGTGGCAGCACCTGGGGAGTTTGTTCTGAGAGAGCTGGTTCCAGAGAGAGACACGCTGCAGGTGTCCGCTTTCAGAGGGTGAGCCTTATGCACACAAAACTGCAAGAATGTTCCCTGTTTTAAACCCGGTAACCATTAACCTTGGTTGGTTGGTACCACTGAATTCTCATGCCCTGTTGTTCTGTTGACATTTTCTGTTTGTCATTTTGTTTTTGTTTTGCCCGGGTGATTTCCTTGGTTGGAAGCAACAGGGGAGCAGCAGAGAACGTGAGTGTGCCATGGATGGCTGTCTCGAACCCACAGCCCTTCAACGACTCGCGCTCCTACTGGACCCTCAACTGTGCCAAGCACAACGAGCCCTGTGCAGGCGACGCTGCTGCTGGCAACGCAGCAAGCAGCACCAGCAGCGGCAGCAGTGGCAGTGGTAGCGGCAGCGAGGAGAAGCAGGCGCCGTGTCCTGTGTTTCAGCGTGACGTGCTGAGGAGGCGACCCCAGTACCAGCAACATCAGCGGCCCCACAGGCGCCAGCAGCAGCAGCCACAGGAGAAGCAGGAAGGCAAGGAGGAAGCAGGGTCATCAAGCAACGATGCGCACAGCAGCGACAAGGTTGCACCCAGGATACTGGCTGGAGAGGAGGGGGCAGCCATCACAATGGAAAAGGTGTCTGCTGACGATGCCTACTACCTGGTATGCGCGTGTGACTGTATGCGGGTGTGACTGTATGCGCGTGTGACTGTATGCGCGTGTGACTGTGTGCGGGTGTGACTGTGTGCGGGTGTGACTGTGTGCGCGTGTGACTGCATGCAGATGTCAGTGTTCGTGCTGAAACGCTCCCAGCTCTCCTCTCTCTCCCCTGGCCGTCCCCTCAACCCCCCTTAACCGCACTGCACCACTCTCACGAGTATTTGTTGAGCAACTGCACAGCTGTGATCTGCTGCACCACGGCGAGTAAGCTGACCGTCACCAGCCCTGGCTTGCAACCCTCTGGACCCCTCTGCACCCCTCTGCATCCCTGGACACCCCTCTGCACCTCTCTGCACCCCTCTGCGCCCCTCTCAGGTGTATCTGGTGGACAACCGCACGGCAGTGATAGTGCTGCACACATTCGGCGTGGACCCCACTACGGAGGCGGAGCTCGCAGTCAGCAGGCCTGGCCTGCTGCATCCCATCGACTACCTCGCTGAGGAGATTCTCAGAGCCATGGATACCGCCAGGAGGTACGCGCGCCCTACCTGCTTGCCCCCCCTGCTAGTCCTCCCTGCTTGCCCTCCCTGCTTGCCCTCCCTGCTTGCCCTCCCTGCTTGCATACCAATTCTCCCTTACTGAAAACCTTTTTCTCTCTCTCAGCATTTTGGACTTTCCTCTCCCAACTTCCCCCAAACACCTCTCCCCCGCACCCCGCGCCTCCCCCCGCGCGCAGCATCAACTGCACGGAGGTCATATTCGACGTGCGCGATAACGGCGGCGGGTACGCCGCGCTGGCCTCAGTCACAGTCGTCGCGCTTCTCGGCACGCGCAACGTGCCTCTAGCGGACGCAACCCTGCCCATGGATTTCATTATAGGCACAAACTTCACCTGGAGCCTCGTGGAAGATCAGGCCATTCCCAAGTACGTCACGAACGCGTACACGCATCCCAGCGACGGCGCGTCGCTCCTCTCGTCTGCTCGCGACTACACTCCTCTGCAAAACGTCTCCTTCTCCATCGCCGGCCGCAGAGGCACCTATACCGCGGATTTTAAACAGAATTTTGATTATTTCTACGGCCCCTTCGCGGAGCAACCCGGGTTGTCGGAGCCGTTTTTCGGCGCGCGGCCGTTTCTGTTTCTCGCGGACGGGGACTGCTTCTCCACCTGCGCCATCCTCACGCACATGCTGGGTAAACGCTACAAAGTACCCATGGTAACCGTGGGTGGTTTCCTCGACCAGCCCGTGTCCGTGAGCGCGTCGTGCCTGGGCTACACCATGCTCTCGTTAAACTGCGACGTCTCGGTTCCGCTAAGCCGCACCACCCACGCCAACGACCCGCGCGCGTCGAAACCGTTTAAGACGAACATGGATGTTTCCATGGCGTTTACTAACGGGTATGTGGACTCGGGCGTTCCGTGCGAGTTCGAATTTCTGCCGAGTCAGCGCCACGTGGACTACACCGTCGATCGCATCGACAAGCCCGAGGTCATCTGGAGCGACGTCGCGAAACTCTTCCCGGAATTGCCGCTGCCACCGGTGATCGCTCAGTCGCAGGCTGCAGTGTAACGCTTCCGCAACTGCACCGTCAGTCAAGCGACACGGTTTGGTGAATAAAGAGAAATTACCTAGCGAATAAGCAACTCCCTGTGCATAGTTTTCCCATATGTTTCCATGATGCTACGTTATGCATCTACTCTAACAGCTGGACATTCGAATCAAGAAACCAGACATTTTCCCAGTGATCCGTTATTAAGTTACTCACTATTCCAGCCTTTCAGGCATGGGAGACACGTAGCACATGGAGAAAAAAATCATCACCGGTACCTTTATAGGTCGGCTTATATTTTGCACGGTAACAAGATATTACTTGTGCTGTTTCGCAAGAGACTCTGGGTTCAGATTTCACAGAATTACTATGCATGGTTCAAGACCAGAAGAAAACAACCAAACATGGCAAAGACAGGCCAACTTGCATCACCCCTTTCTAATACGGTAAGCCCAACCATGCATATCCTTCCAATCGTTCCAGAAGGCATGCAAAACAGTGGCAAACGCCTTCAAGATGAGCGGCAAAAATAGGGTCCACTCTACAATGAATCTCAAAGCCCAAGTGCTTCTTCCTCCCATCGCATCGACTCTTCTTGGGCAGTAGAGCGAGGGGGTTTCTAGTCCCATGGGATCTAGAGGGCGCAGGCAAGAGCAGCGCCGAGGACCAGCAGCACAGTGAAGAGACGCGAGACAGTGACAATTCCCCCTGGCATCCAAAAGTGTGGGGAGTGTCAAAACATATGCATATCATTATCTAGGCTATATTGGTGCTAGCCTTAGGGGGTACAGAAACTTTCTCGACACTCTAGTCTTGTACCCCAACCTTGACCTAATCTCATCATTCCCTTGACTTAGTCTTAACATGGTATCTAGAGCAGGAGGTCTCTAGGACCTAAGAATCGGGCCCACCTAACTGTGTTACCACCTGCCTGCCTTGCCTACTGCCCGCGCGCGCCTCGGCTGCAGCGCGCGTCACTTTTTTTTTCCGCGCGCGCCTCGGTTTCTAGCGCGCGCGTCACTGTTTTTAGCGCGCGCCTCTGCTGCAGCGCCGCGCGCCGGCCCGCGTCGCCCGCGCAGCCTCGCGTAGAGCCCGCGCGCCCCTTACGCCGCCCGCGCGCAGCCTGCTTAGGCCACGCCCGCGCAGCCCGTCGCCACGCGCAGCTAGGAGCCACGCGCAGCCCGTCGCCACGTGCAGCCAGGAGCCGCGCGCAGCACGTAGCCACGCACAGCAAAGAGCCGCGCGCAGCCCTCAGCCGCACGCAGCCAGCAGCCGCGTGTGCCCTACTCGTGTACCTGCCTGTGAGGCTCACTGCTGCCGAGCCCACTGCCTTAGAACTGCTCGGCCTGCTACTGTCTAGAGCCGCACCTTAGGAGCTCGAGTGCAGCAAGCTACTGCCCTGCACGTTGCCTGTACTGCCTGCTGCCTACTGCCTCTGTCTTAGCCTGCGGTCTACTGCCTACTGCCTCCTGTCTACTGCCTGCCTGCTTTCTGCTGCCTTTGCCTGCTGCCATTATGACGACGCCTAACGTTCTCGCGTTCGAGCCTGACGGTCGCCCCGTAGAGTTCGCTGTGTGGTTAGATGACCTCCAACTGTTCCTTCTGACCGATGCCAAAGAGGGCGTTTCACTGTTCGATTACGTGTCTGGCACTGCCGTTGCTCCTGCTGCCGATGCTCCTGCTCTCGAACGCTCACAGTGGCAGACTCGCGATGCTGCTGCACGCCTAGCTATTAGGAACCATCTGCCGATTACTGAGCGCGCGCATTTCAGCCAGCACAAAACTGCTAAGACGCTGTACGACGCTGTAGTTGCGCGCTACTCCTCCCCGGCCACTGCAGCCATAGGTCGGCTCATGCTACCCTACCTGTTCCCCGACCTTTTCTCGTTCACCACTGCTGAGGACCTCATTTCCCACCTGCGCGCTACTGACACTCGCTTTCGTGCCGCACTTTCCGCCGAGTTCTGCGACGCAAACCCCCCCCCGATGTACTTCACTCTCTATTTCCTCGTCACCCGCCTCCCTGACACTCTTAGCTCCGTCAGGGACCACTTCCTAGCGCTAGACCCCCCCACTCTCACTGTCGACGACTTCGAGAAGCACCTCCTTGCAGCAGAGAAGAACATCCTCGCTGTAGGTGCTGCTCGTGGCACTCCTCGCTCTCCCCTCTTTGAGGGGTGCTCCCCCTCCCCTCTCACCCCCTCCTACGCCTCCGCAGCTGCTGCTCACGACTACCTTGGTGCTGAGGAGGTCGGGGCTGCTTCCGCTCCTAGTGGGAAGCGTCGCAGCGGCAGGGGCGGCAAGGGTGGCAGGGGAGGTGGGGGTGGCGGTGGAGGTGGCGGTGGAGGTGGCGGCGGGAGAGGTGGAGGTGGTGGAGGCGGTCGTGGGGGTGGAGGTGGTGGAGGTGGTGGTGGGGGCAGCGGAGGCACTGGGAGCGGTGGAGGTGGCAGCAGCGGCGGTGGGGGAGGAGGGAGCGGTGGTGGCAGTGGAGGTCAGGGCCAGCAGCAGCCGCAGCAGCAGCAGCAGCAGCAGCAGCAGCGTCAGCGCCAGACCCCCACTTCCCAGCAGCTTCTTGACTGGTATGCCGGGCGTGGGGCTTCTGGGGGTCCTGGTCGCTGCCCCTATATCATTCGCACAGGTCCCCGCGCTAATCGCCAGTGCACAGGGTTTCACACTGAGCAGCGCTGCTTCGCTCGGCTTAGCGACGCCTGGCGCGCCAAGTTTCCTAATGCTACTGAGTTCCCCAACTGGGCAGACTTGCTTAGGCGTGATGTACCTATCTTTGATCTTGACTATGAGGCAATTCTTGCTGCTATGTATGCATTGACTGTTAGTGCTGAGGGTGACTGCTACTTGTGTGTGCCGCCGGATCCTGGTATAGCCCCTGGTATAGCCCCTGCAGCACTAGGTGCTTGTGAGTCTGCTCCCCTTGGTACTGCGCCTGCACAGGCCTTGCACACCTTTATACTTGACTCTGGTGCTTCCCGCTGTTTCTTTCGCGACAGTACCACAGTCACTCCCCTCCCTGCACCTGTTCCTGTCTCACTGGCTGACCCCTCTGGGGGCCCAGTGCTTGCACGGTCTTCCACTGTGCTTCCGTGTCCGGCAGTCCCGTCTGGTGAGCTGTCTGGTCTCCACCTCCCCTCGTTCTCTACGAACTTGGTGAGCAACGCCGTCCTTCAGGATCACTGGGTTGACACCTTTACTCCTGGAGGACAGCATGTGGCGATCTGCACGTGCTCCCGGACCGGCCGTCACCTGTCCACGTTCACACGTGCGCCTGGGTCCAGTCTGTACACCCTCACCACTGCGTCGCGCTACACCCCTTTGTCTCCCCAGCTGTACGCGTCTGCTCAGGTAGCTACCCAGTGTGAGTGTCGCCGACTGTCGCACGACACTCTCCTGTGGCACCACCGCCTTGGTCACCCCTCCCTGCCTCGCCTTCGTAGCATGCACTCTCGCTACCTGGTTGAGTCTCTGCCTGCCCTCCCTCCCTCGCCTGCGCCGCCCTGCATTCCTTGCGTCGAGGGGCGGCAGCGCGCCGCTCCTCACTCCTCCTCGTTTCCTCCCACAGAGGCTCCCCTGCAGACTCTCCACATGGACGTGTGGGGCCCAGCCCGCGTCCGTGGACAGGGCCACGACCGGTACTTCCTGCTGGTCGTCGACGACTACACGCGTTACACCACGGTCTTCCCCTTGCGCAGCAAGGGGGAGGTCCCTGATGTTTTGATCCCCTGGATCCGCGCTGTTCGTCTCCAGCTCCGCGAGCGGTTCCACTCGGACTTTCCTGTCCTGCGTCTGCACTCTGACAGAGGTGGTGAGTTCTCCCCAGACCTCTTGGCAGCCTTCTGTGCGGAGCACGGCATCCGCCAGATGTTCACGCTTCCGGCCTCTCCGCAGCAGAATGGGGTTGCTGAGCGCCGCATTGGCTTAGTCATGGAGGTCGCTCGTACCTCCATGATCCATGCGGCTGCCCCCCATTTTCTGTGGCCGTTTGCGGTCCGGTACGCCGCGCATCAGCTCAACCTCTGACCCCGTGTCTCCTTGCCGGAGACCTCGCCCACACTGCTGTGGACGGGGAAGGTTGGCGATGCGTCGCATTTCCGGGTCTGGGGTGCTCGTGCCTTTGTTCGCGATACCACCGCGGACAAGCTCTCCGCTCGCGCCATTCCCTGCGTCTTCCTTGGCTTTGTCCCTGACGCGCCTGGCTGACAGTTCTACGACCCCGCCTCGCGTCGTGTCTTTCCGTCTCAGGACGTCACCTTTGACGAGTCCGTCCCCTTTTACCATCTCTTTCCCTACCGCACTGCCCCTCGCCCCCCACCGCCGCTCTTTCTCGCCCCAGGTCCTCCCCGGGTAGACCCCCTCCCCGCGCCAGGTCCTGCTCCTTCAGGTGTTTCTCAGGTAGACCCTCCCCTGCCTGCGCCTGTTGAGGTCACTGGTGACTCAGGTCCTGCTGGGGGTGGTGCTGTCTTTGGGGGTGCTGGGCCTGGGGGTGCGGAGCTTGGGGGTGCTGAGCCTGGGGGTGCGGAGCTTGGGGGTGCTGAGCCTGGGGGTGCGGAGCCTGCGCGTGAGGACCCAGGAGGTACTGAGCCGGGGGGTGCGGAGTCTGGGGGCGCTGAGCCTGAGCGTGAGGAGCCTGGGGGTACTGAGTCTGGGGGTGCGACGCCTGAGGGTTCTGAGTCTGCTGCTACGCGGTCGCCTTGGGGTAGCCGCCTTCGTCCGCGTGTGCCTCTCACCTCACAGCAGCTGCACGACTGGTACGGTCGCCGTCAGGGTCGCGCTTCTGGAGCTCGGGGCTCTGCCACTGGAGGTACTTCTGCTGACGTCTCTGGAGCTGGAAGTGGTGCTGGTCCCGGAGGTGCTCGTCCTGGAGGGGCTGGAGCTGCTGGGGCTGGAGCTGCTGCTGAGCCTGAGGGTGCTACTGCTGGAGACCCTGGGTCTGGGGGTGCTACTGCTGGAGACACGGAGGCTGGAGACCCTGGGACTGGAGGTGCCGGTTCTGGGGGTGCTGCTGAGG